AAAAGGTAGGAAAGTCGCGAAACACTGTGTTTTTCCAATGATTTGGGGCTCCGGAGGGTCGAAAAGTAGGCTCGCTAAAGCGGCGGGTGCGGAGCCAGCTGGCCAGATGAGAGATGAAAAATTGCACGCCGTTGTGGCGCGAAGCACATTTCGAAGTCAAAATGTACAAAACACCTCAGCATCGGAGCACTTTTGGATGTTGCGATGTCGAAAAAGTGCACGCCGTTGTGGCGCGAAGCACATTTCCAAGTCAAAATGTACAAAACACATCATTGTCGGACCACTTTTGGAAGTTGCGATGTCGAAAAAGTTCACGCCGTTGTGGCGCGAAGCACATTTCGAAGTCAAAATGCACAAAGCACACCATGTACGGACCATTTTTGGAGGTTCAGATGTCGAAAAAGTGCACGCCGTTGTGGCGCGAAGCACATTTTGAAATCGAAATGTTAAAAACACTAGGGGTTCGGACCACTTTTGGAGGCTCAGATGTCGCTTCGCTTCGCTTCACTACACTACACTACATTACACTCCACTACAATACACTCCACTACACTCCACTACACTAAATTACACTACACTACACTACATTACACTACACTACACTCCACTACACTACATTACACTACACTACGCTACCTTCCACTACACTTCTCTACATTACATTACACTACACTTGGTGTCCCAAGTCGGATTTTGGGGGGCCCTCTATTTTCCTTCGATTTTGTTTCCCAATTTTATCTCAGTTTAAGAAATGCCCCAATTCTGTAGACTGAAGTTTTTCATGTTGAAAGGTGAAAATGTTTTGATGATTCTTCTACTGTTTTAATTACACGTATTAACATGTTTGATGAAATCTATGCGCTGTTTTCCAAATGTTTTTGTTCATGTTTTTCTCTTCTCCTGCATTCGCATTGCGCATGCTTGAGCGCTCTGATGTAGCAAAAACAAATAGGTGCTATAAAATTGGGACCCTGGCATGCAGCACATTGCAGGTAGCTACAAGATTGGAACCCTTTGGTGACCGAGTTGTTTCATGAAACCATGCATTGATACGCTATAAAATTGGCAACTGAACAAAACCATACAAAACCGACACATGTCCCTACCGAATTGGAGCCTGCTATAAAATTGGAGCCCTAGGTCACTAAATTTAGGCACCAAAAAAATATAAAATTGGGACCCGGAGGTTTGGCATAAAATTAGAGCTCACCAAAACAAGGCAAACAGGGCACCTGAAATTGAGAGGGGGCCTGTATAAACAAATCGTTTTATACAGCACCTAGGTGTCCCAATTTTACAGGGGGAACTGGCTGGGGGATATGTATATATATATATAGATATAGATAGAGTGTTTAACATGAAGTTTGTACAGTTCTACACTATCCTCAAACTTTCTCAGCATCTTTCTGTATGCTGGTGAATGCTGGTGTCATGGCTTGCACTTCACCACCAGGTAGTGGAACAGAAACCGGCCTAGGCTCAAGAGCTTCACTACCACGTGCACGTGCAGGTGCAGAAGATTTGGATTCAATGACTTGAGGTTCATCTGGTTCCAGTCCTAATTCCTCAGCAATCCTATCAAATTCATCTTCACCATTTCATCTTCACCATGTTGCTGGGGATAAGAAAAAAACAACCTTCTTTCTGAATGAACCTCCTTGAGAGTCATCAACGACCTTTGGTTTCTGCTTACATACGTGCCTCTCCGCTGCAGGGGCTTTTTCTGTACATCGGATGGCTCGGAAAAGGCTGACTCCGGGTGACACATATCATCTATGCTTCCTCTGAAAGGCTTTGCTCGATCAAGGTCACTCTTGACGACATTCTCAGGAATCACGTAGTCCTTCTTGATCTTATAGACAGTCTTGCCCTTCCAGAATTCCTCCATCTTGTCAGCAAACCTCTTCCCTTCACTGCGCCAGTTGTCCTTGTGGAGAACCTCTTCTTGCTCTTCTGGAACTCCATGTGAGTCTCTCTCTCTCACTCTCTCATCAAGAAGTTGATCTTTTGGAATTGGAGTTGTCTCTGATCTGTTCATATCATGTAGGTTCTGTCTCTTGTCCTTGTGATGCCTGATGAGTTCACGACGTAGTCCATCAACTTGCCAATAGTCACCACACACTAGAGCTTCTTCTTCTTCTTCTTCTTCTCGAACATCTTGTTTCACAGCAATCTGGCTGTACTCAAAAGTGGTCATGTTGTGAGAAGAAACTCTTGACTTGTGGGGTCTTGGAATGCACTTGGCTCATGTACCATGCAACATCTTGTAGATCGAGAATGATCCGAGATGAGTACTAATGGCTGTCTTCAAAACCATCTTTCCCATGCCAATACGTGCACAGGACAAATAAGCCTTTTTTGGAGTAAGTTCGATTTGGAATCCAAGGTTCCTCATTTGTGGAAGTGACAGCAACAATGGGACATCACCTTCTTCGACAATGTCGAATTCTGTGGACTGAGTGTTCCATCGATTGTCATGCATGAATATCACAAGTTTCTCAGTGCACTTGGATTGTTGGGAATTTGCAAAGAAGAATCTCGAACTTGCTGGCTGAATTTCATGCCAGGGTCCACCGTTTGGATGTGAGTCAAAAAACAAAACGCTTCAACTGCTCTTCGAGAGCCCATAGCTCTTGTGCATCCAAGGTCAAGGATACATACATACAGTTGGTGGTGCAGAATTCTCTGTGTGAAAAGCTAACCCATTCTCACATGCCAGGTCAGGCTGTATGATATGAAATGAAAAAGCACTCTGCTGCTCATCTGATTCCTCTGTCTCTTCAGAGCATTCAGGATGAGATGGTATCTCTGTCTCCTCAGAGTGTCCAGATGAAAACAATGATGTGCCTTTCGCCACGGGCTTCCATGAAGCCTCACCTTGCTGCAAACCAACTTCTCTGGGCACTGCTGCTGGTCGACGTTGCAGACCTGAACGAAGTGTGCCATGCCACTTCATCACGTTGGCTTTGTCCTTCTCGACGGGTGCGTCATTGGTACTCTTGCTCTGCGTAGGTGGCTGTCAAAACATCCACACATGCTGGTTCTGTCTCTGCAACTGCAATGAAACCATGAACAGCGCTTGATGCTGCAGAAGAGTAGTGAGCTTGTTGTTGCTGTTGGTTCTGTATGGCAGGAGTCGATGAGGTGTCAGGTTGAACATAGTTGGACTTACACTTGCCATCTCTTGGTTTTCCTCCTTGCCATCATCATTCTTGCCTTTCTTGCCTTTCTTTCCTTTTCCTTGTCCTTGTCCTTTTCTCTGGAAATATCCATACTCATCAAGATAGCACAGATCATCATAGGCCCGATAGCCTTCATTCCAGTTCTGATCATCGGCCCAATAGCCTCCATACGAGTCATTCCATTCATCTCCTTCAGTCCATTCTTCTTCATATCCTTCTTCACTCACCATGTGAGAGCGGCCTTTTCTCCTTCCTTTTCCTCAGCCTCTTCCTTTCCTTGATCTGAAGAACCTTTGTCCTCCTCTGCCTTTTCCTGGTCTCTTTCCTTTACCTTTGCCTCGTCCGGTCTGTCTTCCTTGGAACCTTCTCTGATACCATGTGTAGTCAGCGTCACCATAGACCGAGAAAACATCTTCTAAAGCACCCAGGAATCCTTCAGCGCCGTCTTCATCATCTTTGGCCCAAAAGCAGTCAGTTCCTTCTAATTTTCCTTCTTCCAGAACGAGGAAAGATCTTCTCTGTCCAATGCCAGAGGGTTGCATCATAGGATTGTCTACTGCTGCCTTTGTAGTGCAAAACATTTCCAGGAAAAGATCTCTGGGTTCTTGCACATTGTACTGGTCGAGTGTTCGTCCACGATGTGTCATGATACTTGTGAGTGAGTTCCTTGATCTTGCGTCAGATCTGCTAGACTTACAAAAATCAATGCTAGCAAACTGTCACCCAAGGGAATTGCCTCTCTGTTGTGCTCTTCTGTTTTCATTGAGTTGTCTGAATGCTGCCAATGCATGTTCATCTGTCCATGGTACACTGACATGTGGTTCTTGTCCTGGTACTGCTGCTGCAACTTGTGCGAGTTCAGCTTGACGTTCTTCATGTTCTTGGCGACGTTGTGCAACGAATGCAGTTGCTTCTGGACTGGTGGTCAACAAACCTGGTAGTAGATCCATCCAAGACTCAATAAGTCTGTTTCCAGTCAATCGAAATCCAATCATCCATTTTTGTAAATTATTCCTCTGTTGTACTTCATGAACTGCATGAAACGGTATGAGAGCACGTTTCGGGCACCTTTTATGCAGATGGGGTCGCAAGAATCTTTTGAAATAGTTGACACCATTGACACCATCGTTGGGATCCCTCAACAAATCTTGGTCCAGTAGTCTTTTGTACTGAAGTGCTTCACCTTCCAATCTGTTCCTCAAAGCAGGTCCACGTTTTTCTGGTTCCAGCTTTGTGTTGTCACAACAATCATCATTTGCATCTTCAAAGGCAAAGAAACTGGTTCCTCCATCATATGCAGGGGCTACCTTCGTGGTCATCTGCTGCGTCATATGGATTGAAGGTTGTTGGGGTGCTCTTGTCAGTGCATAAGAGTCATATTGATTCCATCCATCTGCATCGACAATGTCGAAGTCATCATCATCAAAGCCATGGCGTGCCATATGGGGCTCTGCTTGGAGCTCACCTTCAATGAAGGATCACTAATCCGCTTCCACTTGAAGAGTGGCACTAGCGTCTAAGCTAGATCAGCTAGAGCGTCTTCCCTTGACAGCTTCACACCTTTGGTACTCGGCCAATAGCTTGTCGGTGCGGTGTCTACAGGATTACTCTATATCTCTCTTGAGCCTTGACAGCGTATGTAAACGTGCTCAATACTCATGCTATATCCACGTATGATTCAAGCCAAAACAAAAACAGGGGGGGTTAGAATTAGGGGGAAAGGATTACAGTATTCAACCTTGGCACAGGTTCCAGTACGAGTGATCCTTGGGTTCTACAGCTTCAAGCCGCATCCAAAAGTTTTCTTGGACGCAGTGCTCAGATCCAAGAGGATTGCATTGTGGTGTCCTTCTTCTCCGGCCTCAGGTTCAGCGATTTTCGGGAGAGAAAAGGTGTCTGTTCTGGACCTGTGAAGTCGTTTGAAATCTATCGCTTGGTAAGTATATATACTGGGAGAATCATCACCATCATCATCATCATCCCAAATAGGATGATTGTATAGTTGAGTTCTTTATCCCCCAACTTGGCCTGGACTGCAAAAGGCCCACATCATTGCAGTGGTGCATGTGCTGGCATACATGGCAACAAGGGCCTGTACAAACATTTGTTCTGCAGGGTTGTGACGCCTTTCCTCAGAGTTCAGAATGGTCTGTCAACGCGTTTCCTGAATGTTATCAAGAAATGGCGCAAAGTACTTTTCAGGGGTCTGTTTTTGGTGTCCGAATAGGACAAATATATTGCACAAGCACAGTACTACCCACCAGCAGCCTAACCCAGGGATGGAAAATCTGCATGTACAACTGTTTTTCCAATAAGAAACCTTCGAGTTTACCAGTGTCGAATTGAATTACCAAACGACATTGAGACGACTTTTACAATAGCTGTTTAGTGAAAATCTTCCAGAACCGAGTTGTGAACCCTAATTGCATGGTTTGGGTTGAAACAACCATCAAATTTAATGGCTATAGGCTATAGGTCATCGCCGGAAATGGAACATTGCCCAACCCCATTCAACCAGTGTCAACGTCTGAGCCTCCAGGGTAGATTCTACAAGAGTTTTTGACAAACCATGACTGTCACATATAGGTTTTTTGCTAAGTGACCCACCATGAATTCAAAAAAACAGAATAAAACCACACAGTTGATGGTTAAATAATGCTCAACCACTTAAAAAACTTCCTCAAAAACACGCGGTCAATAAACACATCAGACGCCAACCCTGGTTCCAGCCCTTGAGCAGTGGACGTCTCCACAGTCTGGTTGACCTCGTTGCTTTCTTCGTTCGCCTGGGGAACCTTTGGTGCCAAATCTTCGCGAGACGAAAACTGCCTTGCGAGGGCCATCGGCAATGGCGTGAAGCATCGAAATAGTGTTTTAGACAGTTTTGACATGTTTTAACCATGATTGGATTGAATAAATTGTGTTTAAAAAATGAATATGTGCTTAGTCGTTGGTGTTTGGGAAAATCGAAATCGGAAACTTTGTGTTGCCAGCAACAAAACCTGGGAGTATGACATGAAGACATCAATCACCAGTGGTAGTTGAAATTCCACTGACTCAAGCCGCCTGCCTGGAACATCATTGGCTTATTGTTTGAAACACACAACTTGCCAGAAAAAGGCGAAATCCAATCAATGATGTCCTCTTGGGGGAAAGGTTTCGGGCTGGTCTGATCACTGTTTACTTGGTTTTGTTTTCAACAATTAGTGGTACAAAAGTGGATAAAGCAAAAAACATCGTTTGTCGTCAAACAAACAATGTTAATTTGGTAAATTTTCAAGGTTCAAACATGGATTACCAATGGCCAGGGTCATCCCACATCCATCGCCATGCTGTAGTTCTTTCCCCACCTGCCAGGTGAGGGTCTCTAGATTTTAACAAGGCGCAACTCCTCCTTCCTCTCCTTCTTCCTCTCTTTTGCTGGGATGTGCCTCGACATGAATGCCATATCGCGAGCTCAGGAGGCTGTGGAGGATGCCTGGACCTGAACACTCCATATCGCACGCCTGGACCGGACCGCAATATCGAACTCAGGAGGCTGTCGAGAGGGCCTGGGCCCAAACTCATGCCAGAAAGAATGCCAGATTGAATGACAGACAGAATCCCAGAACATATGTCAGAGAGAATGCCGGAAAAATTGCAAGATATTTGTCATAGAATGCCAGAAAGATCAGAAAGATTGCCAGGTAGAATGTCGGAACAATTACTTCACTTCGAATGATCCCCACCATGACATTTATACATTTTCTTACTGGCAAATCTTCTGGCATTCTATCTGACATATCTTCTGGCATTCTATCTGGCATATCTTGTGGCATATGTTCTGGCATATCTTCTGGCATTCTATCTGGCATATCTTCTGGCATTCTATCTGACATTCTATCTGGAATATCTTCTGACATTTTTTCTGGCATTCTATCTGGCATATCTTCTGACATTCTATCTGACATATCGTCTGACATTCTTTCTGGCATATCTTCTGACATTCTGTCTGGCATATCTTCTGACATTCTTTCTGACATTCTTTCTGGCATTCTATCTGGCATATCTTCTGACATTCTATCTGACATCTTTTCTGACATTCTTCCCGTTGAGGTCCGGCAGTGCCCACTGCGATCTGGAAGTCGCGGTTGAGGTCCGGCAGTGCCCACTGCGATCTGGAAGCTTGCGGTTGAGGTCCGGCAGTGCCCACTGCGACCTGGAAGTCGCGGTTGAGGTCCGGCAGTGCCCACTGCGATCTGCAACTCGCGGTTGATGTCCGGCAGTGCACACTGGGATCTGGACTGCGAGGAGGAGGCGGCGGGTGAGGAGGCGGAGGAGGAGAACAGCTCTGATAAAATCTAACAACCCTCACCTGGCAGGTGGGGAAATATCAGATAAAATGACAGAATAGATGCCAAAAAGTATGTAGAGTGCCAGACAAAAATGTCACAACAAATGCCAGGAAGACTGCCAGATAGAGTGTCAGAACATATGTCAGGTAACATGCAAGATTGAATGTCAGTTGGTAGGGATCAATCGAACAATGTTTTTGAATTTTGAATGGAGAAAGCAATCCCGGGTCACCCTGGAGCAAAAAAGCGGCCAGTTTTGCCCTTGTGGAATGTAATTTTGTATCAAAATTAATTCCCATGATGTTTCACCAAAAAGGGCAAGTTTTCGGTTAATCCACCATTTGTGGACGAAACATCTATTATTCATGGGTTTAATCCCCACTTTGATGATTTAATCCCATGATGACACCATCTATATATATACAAGCTGATATTGCCATGGTATTCCATTCACATCCACAAAAATACCATCAAGCAACAAAAACACACACGCACACAAATCGTTGTAATTAATCTATGATCCAATTCTAAAACACCACAGCCGCCTGGACTGTGGTTTCCTCTTCAGAGCAGGGTCAAAGGAGCCGGAGGCGATGCGCCTATGGAGGACCACCGAAACGTCCAAAGTTTTTCGGTGGCGATGGGTTGGAACCCAAGCAATGGCGATACCGAAAAACGATTGAAAATGATGATGTGATACCCATGGATACCCCACAAATGGACGATTTCCCAATTGTTTGGCGAAGAATATGGGATGTTCAAAAAATTCGGAATAGGTGGGACTTGCATCTTCAAAGTGACTTGCAGGGGCGTGCAACGCAAAGGGCCTGCATGGCAAGCACGTGGCAGTGAATGGAAGCTAGTATCATACATCGTTTATATATAGTACACATATATATCTATACGTATATATAGATAATTAAACGTATATTCATGAAATTTGTTGTGGTTGTACCTGTGTATGTATGTATGTATGTATGTATGTATGCATGCATGCATGCATGTATGTATGTACATATGTATGCAAATATGAATATATATATATACATATGTTTTAAAACAAATGTAAAGATGACAGTAATGTGTGTAATGTATGTATTGAATGCAAAATGCGTAACGTATGCGATGAATGTAATGTATGTATGTAATTATTGTAATGTATGTCATCAATGTAATGGATGTAATGTATGTGATGTATCCCGTGAATGTAGTGAACGTAGTGGATGCAGTGGGTGCCATGAATGTACTGATGGCAATGTAATGTAATGTCATGTCATATAACGCAATGTAATGTAATGTAATGTAAATGTATGTAATGTAGTGTATTGAACAGTAGGTATGTTTCTATGTTTGTACTTTTGTATGTTTGTATGCGTGTATGTATATTTTGTATGTATGTATGTATGTATGTATGTTTGTATGTATGTATGTATGTATGCATGTATGTATGTATGTATGTGTGTATGTATGCATGTATGTATGTATGTATGTTTGTTTGTGTGTATGTATGCATGCATGTATGTATGTATGTGTGTATGTATGTATGTATGTTTGCATGTATGTTTGTATGTGTGTGTTTGTATGTTTGTATGTTTGTATGTTTGTATGTATGTATGTATGTATGTATGTATGTATGTATGTGTGTATGTATGTATCTGTGTATGTATGTATCTGTGTATGTATGTATCTGTGTATGTATGTATGTATGTATGTATGTATGTATGTGTGTATGTATGCATGCATGCATGCACGTCTGTCTGTCTGTCTGTATGTATGTATGTATGTATGTATGTATGCTTGCATGTATGTATGTATCTGTGTATGTACGTATGGATGGATGGATGGAAGGATGGATGGATGGATGGGTAGGCAAATGGATGTAAAGGTAGTGATGTGCTACTAGTGAAAAATATCGCACTTGATTTGGTTGCCCTTCGAAGGAAACATCAAGTTTTGCCAGAATTGCAGTGAGAACATTTTAACTTTTAAACGTGACATATTGTATATGGTATTTTTGATTCAAGAACTGCATGTATAGTAGGCCTTTTTTTAAATCGATATTATATAACATAGACCCGGGCAAGCCGGCGGCGGAAGTTTCCCAAACATAAATGACCTATAGTTCAAAGACAACCTGTCCCGACCGTGTCCTTCCCTCGACACTCCACACCTCACACTGCACACTGCACTCTTCGCACTCCAAACTTCAAACTTCACACTCCACACTTCACACTTCACACTTCTCACTGCTTCCTTCACACTCCAAACCTCACACTTCACACTTCACACTGCACACTTCACACTTCACAGTCCACACTTCACACTTCACAGTCCACACTTCACACTTCACACTTCACAGTCCACACTTCTCACTTCGCACTTCACACTTCACACTCCACATTTCACACTTCTCACTTCTCACTGCTTCCTTCACACTCCAATCTTCACACTTCACACTTCTCACTTCGCACTTCACACTCCACACTTCACAGTCCGCACTTCACACTTCTCACTTCACACTTCTCACTTTTCACTGCTTCCTTCACACTCCAAACTTCACACTTCTCACTTCGCACTTCACACTCCACACTTCACACTCCACACTTCACACTTCTCACTTCTCACTGCTTCCTTCCCACTCCAAACTCCACACTCCAAACTTCACACTTCACACTTCTCACTTCGCACTTCACACTCCACACTTCACTCACACTTCACACTTCACAGTCCACACTTCACAC